TCGAATCTGCTGGAACACCATTCGCGACGAAATACTGTTCCAGTCGCTCCAAATAGCGATCGATGTTCGTTGAGTCTGGATCAAACTCTTCTATTTTACCTAGGCTCGGCATTATCCGGTCCTCGTTGCCAGAATGTTATGTTTTCGAATGAGAAATGCAACTACAACAACACACAAGATGGCGGAACTCAAACTGTATTCTCACGTGTACAAGACTGCGGGTTCACATCCGGGCAATACATAATAGTATGACGTAATGAACCATAACAAACTTGTGGAAGAACATGATACCCCGCCCTAACGAGCTAATGTTACATTCGCTTGTGATTCAAATTCTATTTCTCATAAAGAACATGGCACGCTTGAAGGACGAAATTTTCGTAATTTTACCGTTGTCGTAATCTTTGTGATCCTTTAATTTTTATTATTTTCCTCTTTGCAGTTTTCACTCCTAGAACTGAACTCGGATTTTTTTTTTTTTCAGTTGTTGACAAGAAATCTTCTTCACGCGGTTGAAGTTATTATTTCTACACTCAACAAGGATGAGAAATTAAATGCCTGTTTTACGAACATTCTTTAACGTTATTAATATAAGGAAATCCTTTCAGTTAGAAAAATATTTTTACTCTACAGGCTAGATGAAAAGAGATTATTAAAATTCATGTTGAACGAGGAGATAAGACCTAGGAAAGATGTTCTAAAAACTATCTAAACAAATCGGCAGTTGCCTTGATAAAAATGTTATTCATTTACATTGAAATGTGGCAAATAATAAAATGGTAGCCGGAAAATAGATAAAGAGATTTGCTTTGATCAGCCGTTTCTACACCACCAGAATCATTTCGTAATTTCGTTCCCTAACCAAAATCGAGGCTTCTTTTACTAAGATGACCACATCTTCATGTCTTTAATACCACTTGATTCCTTTCAATGAATCTCACTAAATCTTTCACACTACAAGTAAATTGACTTGTGGGAGAACACGATACTCGGCCTTTTAAAAGCTTATATCAAAACGATGTCGTAAGGGTCTTAGATTGGCCCGTTAGTTTTATTGAAATTCCATGACATAATAAAGAACATACGTCTCGATTCTTAGCTACCATTTTGAAACTGACTTTCAAGCCCTGCACAGTGATGGAAGGAAAAGTTTTAATTTTCATTGTCGCTCCCGTAATAGTGCTTGCAGCTGTATTCCCGAAGGAAGCTTTTGGAGAAAGTAAGTACTAGCTTATAAACAGAGTTTTTTAAAATGGTGATAGATAAGAGTGAAACTACAAATATTTACTGCAATCTCTGTGCGCTTTAGCAGCTTTACCAACCCCTCATTTCTGTTAGACGTTCAACTCTGCTATCTTTATTCTGTTGTCTATCAATTAAGCCCTATCAACTGCCTGGCCTCGAGATAACAACCGAAAACAATTGACGAATATAGGTGAGCTATTTAACAGGGGAAGCTAGAATAACCGAATACCTTTGAACAGCTAATATCTCCAACATAAACTTCTCTTTCCACTGTGTGAAAAAACTGTCCATTCCCCTTTTCTAAGCCCAATACGGCATTAATATCAATTCTTGTTAGGGAAAATATGTTAACGGAAAAATCGGCAAAATTTGCAAAATCTTTCGTCATTTTCCTATAACGTAAAAAAGAAACACTTTTACAATGTGAGTCACTTAGCGTGGCCTAATTTTTTTGTACAGAGATAGAATCGCAATTCAAGTAAATTTCTTAAAAGAAAAGTCGAAAGTTACGAAGTTTCCTGGTTTCTGCCAAAACAGAACAAAAGTAAAGAGATCCCTCCTCGCTTAAGGAAATACTGAGCTTTGATATCTTGTCTCTCCGAACGGCCACCTGCACGGGCACCAGCGAGTTGGTTACAGCTTTCCCAGTTTCACTTTCTAGCCTTAGTTTTATCTCACCAAATCATATTTAATTTACTTTGTCAATGCCATTCATTGATTCAATTTATCTTTTTTTTTTTTTTTCACTTTTTCATTTACAAGAATCCCCAAGTAAATGGGAGAATGTTCGCAGAATGTTGTGGGGCGACTCCGTCCCCCCATTTTTTGCTGGAAACAAGCGTCCCACGGGCCTTCCGAGGACCGCTACTCGAGGGAGGGAAATACAACAGAAGCTACCTAACGATCCTGCTAACACGCCTCCATATTTTGTGTCGTGTTTTGATCCGGATGAAAACACCGCTTTCTATTCAGCGTACAAAGTTACTCCTGAGCAGGCTACAGATCTTGGAAAGTTTAGCCGGAACGACATCAATGTTAAGAGCTGGAGAACTCCAGGTATTTCCTGTGACTGTTTTCTTAAGGCCCTGGTCAAACAGACTCGCAAGTAGTTGCAAATAGCCGCAAGTTGAACTTGCGTGGAGACCTGAACTGATGCGACTGTAAATTAAGAATTAAAATAATCGAGCGAATTTTATTAAATTTTTCATTTAACTTGGCCGAATCAGCCGTTTAAGCGCGTCTGTATGACCGTCGTTTTCCCTACCCTTTCCTATACCTCAACTTGTGAAAACCCTACCTTTTCGCTCACCTCCAGCCTAAAAGAAAACCATTTGGAGGCTCGTCGTATATTCCCTCATCGGGAGCTACCCCCGGGTTTAACCGAACTTCTAAGACAATCTGAGACCTAGTATTTTTAGGATCCACGACATTAGATGTTACTAACATTAGTAGTCAGTTAGTTCTTAACATCGCATTTACGTTCACAGGTGTCCCCGGCCTGGACAACGCCTACTCTACTGCAATTACGGACACAGTTGGAAGTCCGCTAAGTCGAGGACACATGAACCCCTTGACGCTGAATACGTTCGACAAAAGTTTCATGAAAGCTACATTCACTCTTT